TAACCCGGTAAGTGACCTCACCACCCTCACCGTGCAGCAATCCGTAACTTCCACATTCGGGAGTCGGGGAAACCGCCCTAAAATTCCGGAGATCATCGGGAGTAGACACCTTCGCTGACAATCCGTACGATGTCCCCGCGTCCCTGAGATCTCCCTGTGACTCCTTTGGGACCACGCTGGTTTCTCAGCGTCGGCTTTCCGCTGTCCAGGTGCGCTAGTATGCGGCTGCTGAAGCTCATCGCTGGAGGAGTCAGGAACCTAACGTTGTGCCACCCCGGATTCATATTCGCCGGACCGGCACCACTGGCCGATGAGGAAATGGCTCCTGGAGAAGAAGACCATCCGGCATCTTCTGGAAATCGCATCGACTGGTAGCCCGGAGCGGCCTTGGACCGCCCAGTTTTAAAGTGAATGTCTTTGCCTGCCCGTTATTACCGGCCCCTTAACACTTCAACGTGACTTGGAAGAAATGCGTTGTACGAATGGCGCTCGGGCCTTCACATCTGTGATCGACGCGCTGCAGACCATGTTACCCGACGCGGCTATGCGTTCCTTGATTGTGTCCCGATTGTGGGACCCACGATGAGCCCGGCACTTCTTGCAGCTCAGGTCAGCCAATTCATGTCCGACGCCAGCTTTCGTTGGGGACTGCTGACAATCAAACAAGTCTCTTGGAATGAGAACGCCCGAGGATGTCACTACAGTGCACCTGGACCCGGAGACAGCATCCGCGTTCCCGGTCGAAGACGATGGAGACGCCTTGATCAGGACACTCGAAGAGCAGGATTTATTGAGAACCGCGATGATGACATGACGGAGGCAAACCAGCACCCTTGTGACATGTCGAATGAACCCGAACTACGGAATTTTACTCATTATCAAGTCGGGGTCAGCACACGTGCGCCCCGGGGCTGGTCTGTGTCCGATGCGAGTCGACCGGAACCGAAGCGACGCCGTTGGAAGTACCGACCCACCTCTGCGTGTGTCTTCGTGGCCTGGGTAGGACGAAACCACTCGATTCTGGGGAGGTCTTATCCACGAAGTCGTCCGCACGTCCAGTCTGGTAGAGACGCACCGATGTTGATCCCGGACGAGAATAGGTCGTCTCCAGGAGGAAGTTCCCAGGGATCCCCTGCCATCCACAGCAATGGTCGAAGTATACATGGTCACTACTGGTTCGAGAACGGGCCTGTCCCACGCCACGAAGCGACCGACCTTTTCCGTCCCAGTCGCCGAGTATCGGCAAGGCCAATGCGTTAGACTCCCGCCCCCTCTACGACGCCGCCGATGACTCAGGGCAGCGGCCCTGACAGGCTGGATGAAAAGACCAAGTCGGATGATTCCATGATTGATCCGGGGCCCGTCTTTCCGAGACCAGTCAGGATCAGGATCATGATTTGCGGGAGGTAGGACAACAAATCTCCGATCTCCGCGACGTGTTGGCCGCCCGGGATGAGCAGAAGCGAATCCGATACTAGGTCTATCGTGTAGCCCAAACCGCGTAAACAAAGATCTTCTAAGAGGAGCAGGAATATCGTGAAGCAGAATACCATGTTTGAGCCACGTGGGAAGCAGAAAGGAAAAGGTCGCGGACCAAGAATTCGCGAGTCTTCAAGCCAAGTTGCATTTGCTCGAGAAAGAAAGGGCGCAGGAACAGGAAGAGAATTTCCAGTTCCGGTCCGAAGCCACTCGCCGAATGCACGAGGTGCCCAAACAGCACAGCCTAGCGATCTACCTGGCAATGCCTGTCAACGAGGGAAAAATTCGGCCGATGAAGATTCGTTCCGAATCAAGCGGAGCCAAGCTTGGGCGGCCCGGACGTCGAACTCCGGAAGTTCCAAGAACAAGCCGCTACTGAAAGTGCACGACGTCAATCGTGAGAACGCCGCATCGCTCGCTGACGTGGGAGCAGACGAGCTCGGGCTGACAGACAGTCTCGGCACCGCGACAGGAGTTCGCAGGGAAGCCACTCGACCTGTATGACGACAGGTAGTAGCGGTTCACTCACGGAAAGAAGGGGCGGCCTCACATGAGGAGATGATGTGTGCACAGTTGGATCCTGCCGCGTCCATCCTCTGGTCCAGGTTCGACGGCGGCTCCCGGAATTGCAGCTCCTCACTCCACCGTGACCCTCTTGGGGAGGGGTCCGGGACTTGACCGAACGACGGCCACAGACCCTTCGAGGTCAACGCTGAACTCCGCGATCAGAAGATTCAGGTTCCGCCGAACCTCGCCGTCCGACCGGCTCCGGAGACCGACGTGGAGTAGGTCATTTGGGTCCTATTCCACAGGTGCGCCCACCAGTCGTCACACGTACGTGGGTTCGGAGTGGAATTCCCAGTCACATGGCCCGGGAACGACTCCGTGACCTTTTCCAGTGCTCCTGTGTTCGGCCCCAGGAAATACTTTAGGGACGTCGGGCTCTGACATTTACAGCCTCTCTAGCACTGCGCCGACTTGGGATAGTGCCGCGGGGGCGCGTATTCACCATCGTCCAGACTCGGAGACTCATATCATTGGGGACATGGAGCCTTTGGAACGCCAGTAACCGGGGTTTATGGCCCGGGTATTGTGTGAGCTTCCGACGCTTCATCACCTACAACGTTGTCAAAACCTTGGTGGGACAAGTTCCAGAAAACGGCCGGTGGTGGGTGTTGTCGAGAGCAACCGTTGTGTACAAGTCTCTGTAGCAGGTTCTCGTACAACCTGGGTATGGAGGCATGAGTGTAGCAGTTCCAGGAGTCGATTCGTCGGAGTTGGCGACATCTCTTGGACCGGTGTTAGAAGGAATCCTGCCAGTCTATGGAATCAGCGGTCGACGCTACCTTCGTTTGAAGCAGGAGACTCGGGCAACGCCCCCAAGCTTCTTATGAGGATCAACGCAGCTGCTACTAATGCCAATGTAGACTACCATCCCTCTTCGGGGTTTCGCCGGCATTGAACCAATTCCTCAAGAGCTGTCGGGACCGGGTGCTCCAGTGGAGCCTCCAGAGGCGAGTCTATTTCACCAAGAAAAAACTCGACAATGTCCTTACGCAGGTCGAAGAGATGAAACAATGCGTACGCCGGAAGCCCTCCAACGACGTGCAGTTCAGACGTTACAAGCCACCAGGAACAGGCCCATGTGCTCGTACCCATGGGTATTCCGGGGGCGTATTCAGGCATGGTGACCCCCGAAGCCCCAAGCCCCAAGCCCCAGATCCCGGATCCCGGAGACCTGAGTTGGGAAGATGAAGATACGCTGGATACGGGTACCAGTGCGACGAGAAGAACGAAAAAGCCTACGATGGTATGGTCAATCAAGAAGAGGTGTTCCGCGCTGAGACGCCATGCATGGGAACACCCGCAACGGACGTCCCGGACACCGAAAGCTCGGAACACTAAGGAGTAACCCGACCCCCGGCTCCGTGTCCCGTTTGTAACAAGCTCCGGCTTACTCGGGAACGGTGTTGGCAGTTGATGAAGAGTGACCGATGTGGTGGTAAACACCGGACCAGTCAATGGGAACGCCGGGAGCGCGAAGCCTGCTGCCAGTTGCACCCGGCAGAGGAGAGCAAAGTAATCAAGGTCTTCAAGCATGCGGCCCAACGTGGATAGCTCCACGGCTCCCGGGACTTCCGGAAGAAGTGTTGTACAGGTTGCGTCCAGAAACCACTCCAGCGTTAAACAATTAGGCTCACTGGGTAGGGTACCAGTACGCGACGAGTCTAAGGACCATCAGACCTGCTACGCCTATGCGTATGTTGGACTAAACGAAACTCAATGTATGTCAATTGCATCAACACCAACTTCGGAGCCCGGTTCCATTTACATCAGCCTTGTCATCCCAGACGAAGATGAGCTTTCGTTTGACCTCCAATCCTGGGAGCGCCGAGGCTATTGGAAAGCAAACTCTTGGGACGACAGCCTCTGTTCTGTGGCTTTCGTCCATGGTTCCGAATTTCATCACCGTGATTTGCTCATACCCGAACCCGGAGCCTCGACCGATATTATCTGCCTAGACCTTGCGCGTAGGGCCTAGACCTTGCGCGTAGGTTAAAGCTCAGATTGGAGTCCCAGGGCGGGCTCTTGCTCAACGGTACTGACGGTGTGAAGATCAAAGTGACGGACAAGTGCCGAAACAGGTTCGCACTTGGACACCGAGTGGTTTACACCCTATAATACTGGGTCGGGAACATCGATTAAGGCATCGACGTTCTCCTGGGGATGAAGTTCGTGGTCACCACCGGAGTCCGGTTGTGTACTCACGAAGGAGAAGTGGTGCTCCCAATCGATGATCGGATCCTCCTCGTCTAAGGCCCCAAGCGCTCGCACCTGGCGCGGACCATTGATGTTCATACACGAGTGGCTTAGGTTAGCACCCGGAAACAGCAAGTACATACTGACCCGGGCATCGGAACTAGACCTCGAGTCCATGGACGTGTGGATGTAAGGCCGCGAGGCTCGGTGAGCCCTGGGGACTTCGGGACTCTCTAGGGACGTACGGCCAGCGAAGTCGGGCCCAGACCCCCGGTGTGGGGAAGGTGTTCAGCCTGGTGCCCTTCTGACCACAACCGTTCTAGTGCCTGGTGCTGACCATGTTATGGCCGTCTTGGATAAATCTCCAGAACCGGGACACTCCGGTTTCCAGGCCACGCAGATAGGTTCCTTGGATAAGGAAGCCTTAGTCTCTTCGAAGGCCGAAATCACTTCGGTATTCGCGACCTCTCTGGTATCGACCTGGGGGTCCCTCCGACTCCGCGCCCATAGACTCCAAATCGCGCTGCCCCGGTCATTCGTGATGATAGCGATGGCTTGGGAAAGCCTTGATACAGAGCTCACCGTCTATTATCACCAAGGTTCAGACTTCGTGCTCTTGGGCATACTCAAAAACAAGCTGGCGTACTTCCTCGATCTCCGCTATCCCCGGCCCGAGGCCAATACCGAAGATGTGAACCCGGAGCAGGGTATCATGCCCTGAAGCGGAACAGAGGCTCAGGTCAATCCTCCGGAAACACCGAATGGTTTTTCTGGGAGAAGGGAACGCACTTCCTCCCCCGACCCGGGGCATTGTGTGCGACGTAGAGGTTGGAGACGCTAAACCCATTTCCATGAGGATGCCTACCGATTCATTGTCCAATCTGTAAAAGTTGCTCAAAGGCCTTCTGGAGACAGGCCCGATCTCGTATACTGACTCAGAATGGGTATCGGCCACTGTCCCGTTATGAAAAATAATTTCACCGACGTCCGCTTGTGCTTCGACTATCGTTGGTGAACCAACTAATCAAGCTGATGAACTACCCCGATCACTAATCGTTGAACTGATGAGCAACTTCGCCGCCTCTATGTGGCTCATGACTCTGGACAAGGCAAGAGGGTTCTGGGTGATTCCGATGACGGCCCGATCTCAGCTGATCTCGGTATTCGTTTGTCCGCTCGGACCCTTTCAGTGGAAACTCATGTCGTTTGGGTTGAAGGCCCCATTGATTTACCAGCAGCTCCTAGACAATTGTCTTGGGCTCTGTCCGGATACGCCCAAAAGAGAAACGGCTTGTGGATCTGGAGGTGCTAGAGTTCTTAGGGATTTCTCCCGAGATCTCAGGTATCCCGGAATCCCATGATACGGAGCCCCGAGGATGGTGGTCTCCTGGATCATCCCGACACCGTGTTCCACCAGAACCGGGTTGCCCCGGAGCCGATGGGACCTGTGCTGTCCTGGAGTTGGTACATTGACGATATCAGCTACGGGGCTCCGTCCTGGGACGATCTGTGCAAAACGCGGAATGACCTCCTATACCAACTACGGTACTGGAACATCGCGGTGCGTTCCGGGAGGGGGGGTGATAACCACCCCCAGGTTTGCTACCAACCCATGTTCATCGTTCTCGACTCGCCGAATGTAAGGGTTCCAGGGAGACCGTTTAACCGCTCACTTGAGACATCTTCAGTCCACCGCGTTGGACTTAAACAGCCATGCCAATATCAACACTTCGCTCGACGAGGTCGCCGAAACACTGATCCCAGAACATGCTTCCAGCACATGGTTCCCGGATCAAGACACCATCTGTCAGTCCGGAAATGATTGCTAGTGACCACATCAGGGACCCGACGAAGCCACCAAGAGCGGTGGATCTGGGGGTGCTGCCTGTATCCTCTGGAGCCGCCTGAGTTATTCAATTGCGTGGGACGCTTTCTGGAGAAAGTTACCCCTGAATGAGGTCGAATACTCTCGATTGGTCAAGGGCGTGCAACTCGCTCTTGTCACGGGAGTCCAGGACCAGGTTGTGGTCGGGGACTCCCGACTTGGAGTACAGCAGCTCCAAGACGTCATTGGTTGCACCCAGAACCCCAATAGCTCAAACCAAGAAGTGTGTGGTCCCCAACCCAAGGTTTCGGTGGCGCAATACTGGCGAAAATACGACCTCAGAAGGTTCGACTTATAGTGTCCCCAAGTCGGTTCATAACCTAGTAGTTTTCCAGATCCTATGATTGACAAATGGCTATGTGTTGCGTCGGATGCATACCGGCGGTAGACACTAAATTCAGTCTCATTTACCCCTCCAAGCGTGCAGAGCTCGATTCCACGGACCCCCAAGCTCTCCAACACTATAGAAAGAGGACACTATTCGGGGATGCGTGTTAGGAGACTGTTCCCTAGGTAAGCCTATATAACATTTGCCGGGTGTTCCAAGGCAACACCAAGTATTCCATATCTGCCCATCCCGGAGCGCGGCCTAGCCGTCACGGAACAAGTACTTGATATTCTATAGGTCTTGCCAATTGTTGATGGCTGTCGCCATCGAAGTCTCCCTCCGAAAGATACAGAGTGTGTACTAAAGTTGCGTATTAATCCCGTCTCTGACACAGGCAGTGTCCCCAGACGATTGTGTGTTTAAATACCTATCTGTCGTACACTATTAAGTCGGGACCTTCCTAGAAGTCCTCAGTGGTTGACGTTTCCCTGATCCAACAACCGTTTCGAAGAGGGTACACAATGTAAGGTTATTGACTGATGTCCGGTGTATTCCTATCCCATCCGTAACTTTCTCCGTGCTCACGGTCCCGGATAAATTCCTCGTTCGGGAGGAGCCGTCCATATGTAGGACACTTTGTTCCTACATTCTAACTCTGATCCAACTGGTGCGTCACAATCACCGCATGCGTTCGGTCCCGGAACCAAAAGTTCCACACGCTATGTCACATGATCAGACATTGTATTCTGGACAACGTACTTGCTTTGGTGCATGGTATCGCCGCTAACCTATCGATCGAGGTGCGATCAGCTCTGAGCCCTCAAGTATGTCTTGCTCCAACGGCTTCCTCGATGTTTTTGGAGCACAAGTGGATTGTGGAGAAAGCCAAGCGATATTATTGAGAACGTAGTAGTGTCCAGGCCGACCAACTTGTACATTTTCAAAAAGGCGTGGACGCACATAACGTGGTTGATTAATCAGCATTCATCATCGTGGGCCCGTCTAATGTACATGGAGACGAGGTGCAAAGTAAAACGCAACATGAACACAACTTTATCAAGAAATGCATGGCATTTCCTCATTCTGCATACTTAAAATGTTGCTAACCATATATAAACATGTATATGCACGCTTGGGTTCAGTGTGCAACTGTACTTCAGGTTTTGCTCTTTGGATAAAAATCCAGAGTGGACACACATATATATACGTAACCATTGACATATACCCGGGTCGTGTTCCTCTTGTTTCAACCATGCGAATACTTGCAAATATCCCCCAGTCAACCATACACATTAAACCATTGTTACTTTTACTTTACTTTCAAGGCGTCCACCAGTTACCAAATCTTCGTGAATTGGCGTTTCCTCTTGCTGTTCTAAGCATCCATGGTGAAGAAAATCAGAGATGTACATTCCTCGAGTAATGGGGCCAATCTCAGAGCAGCTAGCAAGCTGAGCCCGCCGTAGGGAGTGGTGTGGTGAGTGTTGCATTTGTAGCTCTAGCCGTGATGTATTGGTCTACGCGTCCACTTGTACTTGCTGCCGATCGACTTGGTTCGGATGCGGGAAAAGTCTGAATGAACTATCTCTGAAACTACGACGTCACTAGCCTTTCGAGGATGTAGCCTTACACTCAGATTGGTTGCTACCGTTCTGGGATGTGAAGGACAAAACCACCCTCCGATGAGGCTGTTGGTAGCGGCGTGAAGCTAAACTGGACGGCGATTATTGATTCCATGTTCCCGCACTTTTCACAGTATTCTGCACGCCTTCTCCTGTGTGGTTCACCGTCTTTACCATGAATATGAACGTGTTTGCCAGGGAGAACCCGAAAAGATCGTTTCCTTCTCGCTGCGCTCGCCGGAAACTTCAAATTACATTACCCGATCTATACCCGACCCGGCCAATATACGCTCGAGTAAAATTCTGTAATGACTGTACTTTGGAATCTACTTCACTACTGTTCAACTTATAGGCATCCAGCCTGCTCGTGCTTGGTGTGTGGCTTCTGAAGTCTAGACTTGAAATGTCGAACGATGTGATTCATTGGCTAACCTTTCACGATAACGCATCCTGATTGAAGTTGAAAAACAAATTGTGATGGGTAGGTGTATTGACTAAACACCTTGAGGCCTCAATACCTGCCAACAATTGGTGAACTGCCCTTGGACAGCCACCGATTTGGTCGATTGCCAATTGGACAAATGTATATAGCATTTGGAATGAAGGCTTCAGTCCGCTAATAGCGTGAAGTCTGTACCATCAGGGGCTTCTATAAAACTAACATATGATTGAACACGACCCTAGTTTTCGGCCTGTAAAGTGGATGAAACCGATAAGTGCCTTCAATAGCAGGTGATCATAACTTACGACTCATAAGTATATTTGTGGTTATGAACTGGTTGTAATTGACAAGAGTGAACCATCTAACACTCGAGCTGTGTCCTCTATATTCCCAATCAACTTCAGGAACGGTGTTACCATGTCGAAACTGTAGTGCATACTCAGTATTTGACATGTTTCACGATCCCATTCGAATCGAACTAAGGAAGAGATCACAATTTGTTGTCCAACGAGTTTCGTCATCAGTGCAGTTTTTTTGGGATCTTTGCTACGATCTGAGAAATATGGGAATGCGAAAAGTAGCATCTCTTCCGTAATGAGAGCGTACGATTTGATCGCTGCCACAATTGCGGTATCCTGGTCGTAGTCCAACCGAAAAAGACACACGGTGATATCACGATGAATCTGTTGGACAGCCAACCACTCTTCGATGAGGGCTTCCACACCGAATCCGCTGTTAATACTGACATTAGGGGCCATGACCTTGTGTAAAAAGTCCATCTGTGCATCGCCTTGTTTACATGTTGAAGGCTTGGATGTCGAATTTGGTGTTTTGGACCCCTTGTAGCCATCGCGGAACAGACGATAATACTCCGATATAACGTTCCACGGAGTCACAAATGTAGGAGGGTGAGATACGAGAAGTTGGTACTCCAATTCATGTTGCCGGACTTGCTGATGTAGCCACAGGACATCTTGCTCAAGCGCCGCTATGTTTATGTCAAATTTCTTTCTGTATCGTTGTTGATTTCGTCTTCGTCCTTCGCGTTGACGAGCATAGCTTCGCGATATATCAACCAATAAATCCGGTGCCTTTTGAAGAATAGAAGCGAGTACCTGTTTCTGTCGTTCCTCAACATTGTCGACTTTTGATGAAACACTCGCTTGTTGAGGCTTGGTACCAGTATGATTGCTATTCGTGATGACAGATTTTGTTAATGGGTTTGTCCACAAATCTGTCCATTTAGTAGATGAAACCAAATTATCACAAGATGATGAATATGCTTTAGAGACGACAGGTACAGCCTTCAGCATTTGTCTCGACCTTGCGGCGACATTGTCGTCCAACGCTGTGTACAAGTAGTTAGTAGCAATGACTTGGCCGAATCGTCGAGCTCCTGCGCGCTGGAGTACTTCACCAACGATGATGTCGTTAAATTGTTTAGGTGGGAGGTATTTAAAGTGTTCATGACGGTGCATATTTTAAGTATAGCAGTCCTGGTGATATCGGAAATGCCATCCAAACCCAATGGTGTATCCATATGTGTGCCCGCACTGGTATCAGTACCAATGATGTACCTCTGATGAGATGTACTAATATACTGGATAACGCCATATGGTGGTACCACGTACTTGAAGTACATTAGACTCTATACGCAAATGTGGATCTGCAGCTCACTTCCGTAC